GCTCACCTTAGCCTATAGCTCCTCATACGAACGACTGTACATCTCACTCCCCTGCACTGTATCCAACTGAGCCTGTTATCTATAATTTAAGAGACAGCCTCAGCTTCAGCACCTGAACTGCAGCTTCTGACTGATTTAACACATTTGTGTGAACTTCAGGCCCAAAGGCTGTCAGAGGGCCTGTATTTGCATTCATTTGATCTGAAACCTTTGTCACCAGTTCTGTCCTCAATTTGAAGAAGAGGAGGAGATGTAACTTAAAGAAGCTTGTTCCTTTTAAAAGGCTTGTAAAGATGATTAGCTATGACTGCAGTGTTTAATGTGATGTTGTAAAGCACACATGAGAAAACACAGGGACATATGCAGCAATGGAGAAGTTTCACAGGAACTCAGCAATGCGTGTCATGTATACCTTGAACGGTGTGTGGAAAAACGAACGTCCTGAAACCACATTGACAGCTCGACTTCTTTCCGACCATGCTACGGGCCTTTCGAGCAAAGTTTGCAGTTGCAAACCAACTATAAACACTGATTTTTATGTATTGCTAAGGATTCTCAAAGGATTTTGGTCAGAAAAAACATCCCCACATGACAATGCTACCACAACTAAGCTTCTCCATGGTGCAATCACAGGGATGTCTGTGGTTGGGTAGCTGATATTCCTCACCAGAGCAATTTATTCCACATGAAACTTCTGATGGCTTTCTTGCGACTTTGTTCAATGTCTTTCTTTTTGGCACTCTGCTATTAGGACCAGGCTTATGGAGTGCATGACCTCCTTAGCCTCCTCCCTGAACAGTCTGGTGTGTTTCTCCGTCTTCATGATGGTGTTTGTTCACTAATGTTTTCCAATAAACCTCCAAAACCTTCACTGAAGGTTTTATACCGAGTTGGCTCTTAACTAATGAGGTGACCACTGAAGGCAGCAGGTTCCACTTTTTTATTTTCAGTAGATTTCTTTTCAGCTGAAGGCTCAAAGAAATCTACTGGTTTCTCACATATTCATTTGAAAAACAATTTTGAAGACCATGTTTCATTTTCTTCACAACTTTGCACTACTTTGTGTTGGTCTGTCATACCAACACAAAGTATGACAGGGGCTGTATTATGCAAAACTCTCATTTTGAACATTTTTGTACTTTCATTTGGATTTTTACTGCTTCTGAAAACAACCCAAGCACTTAAAAAAAAACAACAACCAGCCAAATGTTGGCAATAAGTTAATGTTTTTGATGTCTGGAAAATGAGCTCAGCAAGGTGACGGGCTTAGTTACAAGGTAAAACCAGATGTTTGGTCTGCTGGCTTTACCGCTATGTTTGCTGTACAATGGCTGCTGGAAAACACAAGTGTTTTGTTGTTGACTTACCATTCAGAAACCACTCGCTGCTTTCTTGTTGGTTGGTGTGAATGCTCTGCTTCTGTTTTTTTAAACAGGTTGAATAATTGCACATCTCAAAATAGAAAGAACTGAGCAGACTAAAATATCATTATCCAAGAATGATTTAGTGCAGAATAATAATAAACAGGATTTGCATAGCCAATAAACCTATTCTAATATGTTTAAGAAAACATAATAGCTCACCTTTACTATGATTTCAAAGTGCCATTTGCACATGGTATAAACATGCAGTGTCAGCAGACTTACTAAGAGACAAAATTTATGGCAGCAGCACTTGACAGACTGCATGCCTTATAAAGCCTCAATGAGTTTCGAAAAGCAACCTCCTCCTTGTCTTCTTTGCTGATTATAAATATTAGCGTTCTGAGCTTAGTTTCCATTTAGACTACCCTTTATAAAGAACAGTGTTCACACACACTTGTTACACCCCGTGTTATTTGCTGTATTTGGGATACTGTTTGTTGTCCACGTGGAACCAGAGACGAAACTGATTTTGAAAGCAGTGACAAAACCTTCATACACAGGATCGATACAAATGGGCTGTTATTAGGCGGGATTGGACAGGGTTGTTTGGGGAGTTTCTCAGCAATTGGATAACTCCCCCCTACACGACGCAGTAATCGATCTGAAATTTCCCCACAGCCGATGCAGTGAATCTTCCAGCTATTACTCATTCCTCTCCACAATGCATTATAGGGCAGCTATAGCTTGCTGTCGAAGGAAACTCAGTCCCCCCTTCTCCAGGGTGGTGATATAAACTTCCATTTGGAAGACAAAGTCAATCTGTTCTGTTTCTCCGGCTTTAGCAGGATGAATATTCACAGCTGTCTAGATGCAAAGTTAACTTGCATCTGCAGGGTGAATCTCTCTGCTCTCAGAGAGGAAAAGGCTTGAGATTTATTTCAGGGTTAGAGCAGCATAAAAACATACAATCACAGACCAAACATTTAAAGTTTTAGAGTTTAAGGACATAATATGGTTTAGAATGCAGAGGTTTACATATAATGGTTGCTATACATATATAGCAACAGCAGGAGGATTAGGCAAAATGGAGTATGCCAACTCGTGAGTTAGCTGTGGTGAAAATGAGGAAGTTTGAATTTTATATAATATTGAAAACACACCTACTCTTATAGGTTGCATGATCTAAAATGTTAACCTAATTGGATTTTCCTTTGCACAAAAAGCTTAACTAATACTTCCACTGACATATTCACTCATTTTAGCTGTGCATCTCTGAAACGCCTCCAAATGAAACACATAAACTGTGAATACTAAATGATTACAACCAGAACATAAGACAAAACATGAATGGCTTAAATTTTAAATTTAAAAAATGAAATCATTACAAACTCTTGAACTCATGTCAGAAGGCACTCTGAATTCTTTTGACAGAGTTTAGATTGGATTTAAAGCCTTTCCATTATAGTTGAGAGCTTTTCAATTATACGCATAGCTAAATTTAACTGGGCATAAATTACATTCCTTACTACTCTTTGCAAAGAAACCCTCCATGGAGCAGATTGCATATTGTATGGATATCCACAAACTAATCCTTTGTAACACAAGATTATAGTACTGTTCAAAAAAAAGGATCAATGGCATACAGAGAGTGTTACTGAATTGCTTCATATATAAGCATCATAAAGGTGAGTCTACTTATGGTTCGCAGATTCAAATAAAAATGAAAACATTTATTGCCTTGTTGGAATTAGAAAGCGAGAAAATGTGTCTATTTGCGCAAACATGAGACACGACCAAGTCTTCATCACACATTTGTTAGCTACATTTTTGAAGGTTGATATTTCTCTATTACAAATCCCCTTATAATTGGTCTGATGTAACACTGAAATATTCTGAGGCCATAAGCAGTAGCAGAAATATTTTTCCTTACACTGTGGAGTATGAGTTTTACATCTGTAAGCTGAAATAAATTAACTTTTCAATAATATTCAACTTTTTTCCTCAGATGTGATTACTTTGCAGAGAATCACCTCCTTAAAGACAATAACATTCAATGTGAGAGTTATCTAAGCAACATCTCGCTAACGCTCGCATTATTACCGTTTTCTTTCACACCTTTCGAACACTGCTCCGTTACGTTTGTGCATTAGGAAATGTAATGAAAACAATAAATCACAGCTCTGCTATTGGCTGTCACTGCAGTGCCATTGTTGGAGAAAACGTCCCCGAATTAACGCGGTACAGTCAGAGTTGCTGTCATTTGTAATCAAAGTAGGGCATGCACGCATCTACTGCCAATGCAAAACATGTTGTTTTGTTAACTTGTTTCCAGAGCCAGCGGCCAACATTTCCAAACTTCAAAGAACTGCTTTCACGCCCACATTCCACTTTGAATCAAATAAAAGATAGAAAATAATTGCAGTGTATGAATAATTCAGTTGTGGGATTCATGATAAGACAAAAAACTCTTATCGGGGCTTTCCCTCAAGGTCCCGCAGACCGCTTTTCCTCCACTTTTGTCTGGGAAGGTTCTGAGGTCTCTCTCTGGCTTGTTCTCCTGCCTCTTGTGATGCCCACCAGGGGAACAAAGTCAGCAGAATTCACGCCGACTGACGCCAAGTCACCCCTAACAAACAGGCAGCTCGCTCCGCAACAATGTGGCTGAGAAGATTAAGACTTCACCCTTCAAACAAATAGCACGCTTCAAATGAAGGGTTTGCATTAATTATTAAAATATAACACCACTCCATCCTTCATAAGTCATGTTCTCTGTGATGAGGAGCAGGGGGCTGCAGGAGAGAGCCCAAACACACGGAGACAGAAGTGGAAATGGAGTTAAAAGGGTGGCTGATGCTGTTTGGAATTTTTATTTTTTTTTAACAGGAATGGGAGCTCCAAACAATTCATGCAAGACAGAATATCAGCAGAGATTTCTGTTTTTCCTTCTTTTTTCTAGTTGAGCTCATCTTGTTCAGAAAATGGAACCTGTGAAATCTTTAAAGAACAAGATTTCTTTCTCCCTGTGCGCTAAGTGTTTCTATAAGTGCTGAGCCAGTAAAGTGTCCTCCCCACCCCTCTTCTAAATCTGTTGTTGTGAAGTGTGTAACAATGACCTTAACAGATTCAGTCTTTTCCCCCCTGGCAAAACGTGACTGGTTGGCAGATTTTGTATACTTTGCAGCTTACTTTCACTTCAGAATTATCCATCATAGGTTTATTTCAAAGGAAAGTAGAGATGAATCCAACGCTTCTCTAAAGCTCCTACTCTTCTCTACACCAAAAAGTCACCTCCAGATAGACTTCACTTCATTTAAGATTCAAAAAGAGGTACAGAATTTCTTCTTCTGCTAAAAAAAATAAATAAAAGCGAACCTGTAGTAAATTTTCTTTGTGTATAAAATCTGCCCTTATACTTATTATTGTTCCAAATATGACTGCTGGCTTGAAATTACTCAAATTATTGTACATTTGGCAGTGAATAGAGAAAGTGCACATAACTCTGCTAAAATGGCAGATTTCTGTGAAGTAAAAACGGAGACCATAACAAATAACTCTAAAATGTTTCCAAACTTTAATGTGACATGAATCCTGTGCAATTCAAATGAAAAACAACCAGCCATGACACCCTGCCACTTCCATTTCTTGGGCTGCCAAATTATAATTGTACATTGGGAAAATGTGTATGAGCATGCTAATAATATATATGGACCTAAAATTACATTCAAATGTGAAAAATCATACTTGGGTGTTGTACCTATACCAAGCTGGAATGATGCAGCTAAAAATATTAAAAGTGGATTTTTTTAACCTAGTCCTGTCTACTTAGAACTTGATCAACATAATGCATGAAATGAAGGAAAAGTTGTTGAACAAATGAAATATTTGATCAAATCTGAGCTTAGTGAACTGAGTGTGCAAAATCTTTTTGGTTGGATTTCCTTTAAAAAAAAAATCATCTTCTCTCAGTAATAGTGGAAAGGATTTTGAAATAAAACTGTATTTCATGCACTTTTTAGACCTGTAGACCTCAGTAGTTTAACACCTGGAATGCTTGCAGGATTCAGTACTTTTATACATAAAATATAAAACCTTTCTATAAACTCCACCACATTACACAGAGTAAAAAAACAAAAAGGGACGGCTTATTACACTGGAAGCCCAGCTTTTTACAATCTTTTCAAGTAAGGTTTTTTGTTTAGGTCTTTCTGGGACATGTTAGCAGCTTTCTAATCCACCTTAAAAACAGACACAAACACAAAGACTTGGTGCTAATTAGAAGACTACACTACAAAGTAAGGTCAAACCCACCAAGCTTCTGTTCCAACGCAACCTGAAACTGGGATCAGAGAAGTTTGGTAATGATGCGTCTTTGTCAACTCAGGCTTTCATCTTCAGGGCCTGAGCACAACCAGGGAAAAAAACAGAAAGGATTTTCTAAGATTATTTAATGCTTTATCGTCACACAATAAACAACACTGACTGTCTAGTTTCTAGACCTTAATAGCTTATTACACTTGAGACAAAACTAGCTTACAAGTAACTTTTCAGCAAAATATATAAACTTGTTTTAAGTCAAAATGTTCTTAGTATTGATGAACTTCTACTTCCACTGGCAGATTATTTCACTTATGAGATTTTTCCCATGTTAAGTCAAACAATCTAGACTAGTATATTTATTAATGAGTATTAAGCAGTTATGAACCTTGCTGACAAGTTACTTGTAAGTTAGTTTTGTCTTATTTCAAGTGCACCAAGTTATTATGCTCTAGAAACTAGACCAAAAATACTTGTGAGATTTAGTCTTTTGAAGGATGGAGGGATGAATAAAAAACAACAACTTTCATTATTAAAAAATAGACAACAGAAACTTTTGATTACTATCCAGGTATCTGGTTTGTGTATTTGTAAAAGTTTGAGGCTTCAGGTTTCTGTATGAATGGATCCAGTGAAGAGTTTGGTTCCAGAGCAAGACTGAAAGGTTTGTTATCTCTGGAGATCAAGGTCTCTCCTGTCAAGACCTGAGTACTACATGAAGCTGCCACGAGCAGGTGCTTACAAATGCACACCAAGGGACCAACATGGGCCATGTTTTCACCTTTAAAAATAGATCAAGAGGGCGCTGGAGAGCCATGAGCTTCTGGTTTCATGGCTTTGGGCAGGAGTGACATCAGAGTAGCATATGGAATCTGACATTACCTTTAGCCTGGTAGTAAGGACACAAAAACCACAAGGACACTTGGGAACTAGAACCAAAGCTTGGAGGTTACTCCTCAGTAATAGACAAACTTGTCCAGGTTTCATAAGAGAAGAGAAAAATTGTAGGACGCTGGACTCAGGTGTCCTCTTATTTACAGAAATGATATATTTCTGAATATGATTCTGATAAATTGACAGTTTAAAGAGCAGAGAAGTGAAACTAGTATTGTTGAAAATGCAATTAAATTAACAAAACCACGTAGTTGTGTTGCTGTCTCCCTGATATGATTATCTTGCCTTTGTTTGTTGCTGAAAATAAAACGTTACAGATGTGCACATCAGCAGAAAATCTACAGCCGAATGGTCCATTAAAAACCTGGTTGCTTACCAGAAATGCTGTGGTCGGGCCATAAGAGAGATGCACAGGAATTAATGTCTGCAACCTTCGACAAACTGGAGAAACACTGGAAAGAAGAGTAAACCAAAAATCCTTCATCAATGTGTGAAAGGCTAATAAAACCAGACAGAAAACAACTACCTCAGGTTAGAGATGTACTATACATCCAATATCAATCGTCAACACAAGGTCACTGTGTGCAATATCACAATCATGAAAGACTGCAAAGTGCAATATTTCAGATTCCATACAGTGCAACTCTGCTTTCCAATAACTACTCAGAGAAAAAACGATGGACTTTATGCTTAAACATTATCCTACTGATTAATATCTTAAAGCTCAGGGTGTTATGCTATGTGAGTTTGTAACAAGTCTAAAACGCAAAAGAGAATGAAAGCAGGAGCTTAAAACAATCAAGGAGCTTAAAAACTGAGTATAAACAGGGGAGGATGATGGACCACTGTGGAGGGAAGAGGCTATTTAATGCAGGTAAAAATGGCTCTGAAAATAAAATAAGGGTAAAAACCCAATTCTAACATGGAAGAGAAAAAAACAAAATACATAAAGGGAAGAAACAAGAAACTAAATTATCCCACATTGTAAGACCTCAGTGTATTTAACACACCTAGAAATATCAAGAAACAAACACAAAACGAAAGCAAACTTGACATAAAAAAAAGTCTGTGATAATCAAATAGTTTGAAAACACAGAAAAATCTATCCTCATTTTCATTAAAGTCTCTGTATTTCACATGAAACAAAGCGAAGCGTCGCAGGATCAGCTGCTTTCAAATAATTCAAAAGATAAGAAAAACAGATCCATGTCCAACAGCGACACAAAACAACATCAATCTGGTTGAGAAAAGAGCAATTTCAATTCAAATCATCTTAATGAATGACAATAAAACCACAGAAGGATAAAAACTACAAGGGTTACTCATGCACAGAAAAGTCTCAAATCAATTAAGAGACACTTCCTGGAGGAAATCCAACGCTCACTAAAATACGAGCAGACAGCAGAATAAACAGAACGCTAAGGTCGCATCCTGTAAACAAAATATTGGCTTGCTGAGCTAAACCTGTAAACCCATGGGCTTGAAAGGTGATCAAGTAAAACTGGATGGCCAGAATACAAGGGCACTGAGGCTTTTTTAGACACATAGCTAATTAAAACACAAAGGTTAATGATTATCATACAAAAGCTGGCATTTATATAAAGACCTTTAAACACGCCCACTGGTGCATACAAAATTGCTTGACATAAACTCTTTGAATTGCAGTTGGTCTAAAAAGAGCCTTAGAACAAATTACAACACAACTCTTAGCTTTAAAAGGTGACAAACACCCAGATCACCCCTGCTAAACACAGCTCACTGATGCAGAGCGCAGGGTAAATGATTAAAGATGGCATTACATAATGAATGAGCTTCCTTGAAATGCTCCACATGTGCATTGTTGAAGGTCTGAGGGAGGATAAGAGGCAGAATCACTCACAGCGACAGTTCGACAGTTCATGGCCCGCAGTGGGACAGATGTGGCCAGCTGGGCCCAGGGCTTCAAACTGGAGGAAGGAGATCTGAGGAGGAAGGCTCCGACATAAAGAAGAGAGTAGCTGGAGGAATAGGAAGGGGAGGATTCACAGGGAAGGAAAGAAGAAACAGAGGAGCAGTGCAGAGGTGCCTGCCTGGTGGCTGGTTGGGTTTTTTTAGCTGAATTTCTCACCATGATTAAGACTTTAAAAAGATGGCAGGGGATGAAGCTTGGGGCAACAGTGACAATACAGAGAGCGGCTCTGAAATGTGAGCTACTATTTTTGTTTATAAGGTTTATGCAAGTCAAGGGGATATACTAATGCATTTCAACTACTACTTTAAATCAAATGTACAGTTTAATTTTTACTTAACTCGTCAGAGGTCAGCGTTTCATCTTCCTAAACATCAGACCAGGAGAGGTCAGTTTTTTCTCAGGCACAGGCGAGATAAAGTTTCACACTTTGTAATAGACAGGCCTTCTGTAAAATATTACAAATGTTATTTAAAACTCAGAGACTTGTTATTGTCACTTTTTTCTTGTTATATAAATGTCTATTATTAGACTTCGGGTGTGTTTTTATGGGTTTTTTATTATATGATTGATATTCTAAATTTATGATCAACTGATGAAGGATGGTAATCCTGAAATTTTTTTTCTATACTATTTTTGAGGAGGTGTCATATAAGACCATTGGGCTTAGGAGAAAATCCACAGAAAATTTCAAATGGTGCAACCAAAATTTATATAATATGTAGGAAAATTACAAACATGTACATGAAGCTTATTATTAGTGAAATTTAAAGTGTAAATACAATTTTTATCTTTGTACTGCACAGTTACATTGAAAGGCTTGAGCATTTAAGTGTAAAAGAACAACAACAAAAAAAGGTAAAAAAAAATTCGATTCAATTTGATTTTAATAAAACTTTATTTGTCCCTAAGGTGCAACCTAAGTGCACAGACACATTAAAAACAGACAAGGACCCATCATGTAAAAAAATAAAATCAAATAAAAATCACTCTTGAAATTAAAAACTGCAACCAGAAAGCAATAATCGATCTTTTCTTCTTTCCAACGCTGGACAGGAAATTTTATTCTCAAGACATTTGTCTTTGAAATTGCCAATCCGCTGCTTTTCTGAAAAGGCCTGAAATGACAGAGTCAAGTTTGAACACATCCTGATTGTTCAAAGTTTTTAGTAGACGGCAGCTTAAGTGCAGTAAATGATGGTTCTCCTGATTGTCATACGCTGAAATGGGACATTTAGCAGAGAGGTTATTCTGAGCCAAATGAGTATTTATTTCAAATTAATGCAAGCTGGCATTTAAAGATTTGTTTAATCTGTAAAGACATATGCGTTGTGCTAAAGTGTGCTTCTAATAAGTATGCAGATGGAAGAAAACTCGAGACCGGTGAGATGCATTAGAAGGACACCAAGATTAATATTTGGTGGATATTATGAAAAATAAAAAGCAATATCTGTCATAATTGGAACTTATAGAAAAGTCTGAAATGCTTTTCTAAAGGCAATGAAAAAATAGTCCTCATTTTTGAGAAATAAACTTTTACTATAGAAAGTAAAGTATGTAATACTTTATTATTTATGGTGTGGATGTAATACTGCTCTCTAAAGGTTTCTACACTGGACTTAAATTATTTTCTATCCCATTATAATGTGCAAATTTCCTGCTGAGGCTGCAGCATCTCTTCTGGTCTTCCAGAGAGCAAAAAAAAAAAAAAAAGAAAAAAAGAAGCTTATTTCAGTTTGATTCAGTTTATTTTCATATAAAGCGCCAATTCACAACAAAGGAACTTTACAGGACAAATGGGTCCAGTTTGTGTCCAGCATGTTTTGGCACTAGTGGTCGGTATTTATTAGTAGCCCAACAGGAAGAAGGGGAGGACATGCAGCAGGAATTGAACCTGGGACCGCTGCATTGAGGGCTGTAGAACATTGCACCATAACTGGACATGGTGCCCTGATGTCCAGTTTTATAAAGCTAGAAAATATAATTTGGTCCCAATTAATTTAAAATGAATCCAATTTATTTCAATCCAATCCTATCATACTGCCAAATTGCCACCTATTGTGTTCAAGGTTATTTGGTATTTAATAGATGTTGAAACTCCCCCCCTCCCCCGACACACAGCTTAACGTACCAATGCTTTGGGAGGCTGTGAATCCATCAAAGAAGGCAGGGTAAACTTGTGTTTGCATTAATGCTGCTGAGCTAACAAGGTCCGAGAACCAATCAGATTTAAAATGGGGTCATTTAAATGACTCTTATGAAAAGTGAAACTTTATACAGGCAATTTAAAGGCCTACTCATGCAGATAACCTGCATGAAATACAATTTCCCCTCAATGGGAATGTCAGAGTTCAGCACCAAAAGCACTTTCCTAATGAACTATGATTACCTTTCATGCTTTCTCTTCACCTTGTTTCAGGTGTGCCACACAATTTCTTTCACTAAACCCTCACAGCTTCATTCAGCTGAATATGTTTAATTTACTCTGACCTCTACTCTGGAGGGTAACCTTCAGATTCACACACAGGACTATTAATCCTCTTTTTTCTCCAGATGCCAGGGACACAGTGTGGTTACTTATAAGGCCAATAGGGATTTCTGGTTGGAATTAATGTCCAACAACATTATTAGGCCCGAGCAGCTAAGCGCTGCGAGAGCCTATTGAAACTGTACTGTTTATTATTATAGTTCT